GTCGGGTTATCGTCACCACGCACGAGCACGTGTAGGACAGGCGAACTTAGTTGCGCCTCAGCGTGCTCGTATGGGATGATGGTTTCGCCGCGAATTTTTTTGGGTGGGCGGATCGACGCACGGGGATGCATGTAAACGCGCGATTCGGATCGTGTTTACACGTGTCTTCGCGCGGTGTTCGCAGGGCTCGACATCGGATTGTCTAATGGCTCCGTAGGTTTGGTTATGCGAGATGCAATCACACGCCAACCCAAGCAACAACCAAAACAAAATCGCTATCGGGGCCAAGTTCTTATCCTCTCTACAGCTGTATCAGGTGCAGGTGATGATTCATCAGAAACAAAAGCAAGGACAAGGATTTTCAGCAAAAGATAGACAAGCAGGCATAGCATCCATATATCCATACATTCACTAATCATACACATAATGCAATCGAGACGGAAATCGCAAAAACAAGTGTGAGCAAAAACCCAAATCCAGATTCCAAGAAAGCCGAGACGAAAAACAAGAACAGGCAAACGCCTGGAGCCGCAATCAAAATGTTATGTACACAGATGAAGAGGGGGAAGAGACAAAGAAACAGCAAACCCGCGTCCATCAACCTCAACTCTCTCTCCTCCTCTTCTCTCTCTTCTTCGATGYGGAYAGTCCGTCRTCACGCACCAACCCACGAAGTCGTCACCCCRCTTAGTCCTCCCGCACCCGTCGGATTCRCCCGTGCCCASAGTCCGTCGTGGCCCAYGTCAATCCCRYGCGTTCRGCACCAGCCCGTCGGGTYRCCCAACTCCTACTCTACTCACCTCTTRCTTCGCTCGTGTGCCGACCCTTYCTRATCKCGCCACCCCGAGCTTCCAACAASGGGTTAAGAGAGCTAACTAATCGCGCAGMCGGATTTTATAGCGTGCATGCATGCGCGAARAACACRGAATYACCAAGACTTAGAACGGGGATTAGAGASGGAGCGCCTGCTTTCTGCATGATCARGCCGCGGCGTGGGGSAYGTAGCCCTTCTCCACGCATTGATCCGAGCATGCAAGCCGCGGCTTACAAAAATCACAGCAAAAGAAAGAGAGGGAGGGCGGGAGAGACAAAGTGCAAGAAGAAAGATACAGTTACGATGGCGCCCGCCCAAAATTACAGTTACACATGCGAYTAAGGGCGCCCACTAATC